TAAAGTAGTGTGTGTGTGTGTGTGTGTGTGTGTGTGTGTGAGAGAGAGAGAGAGAGAGAGAGAGAGAATGAATATGAATGAGAGAAGGGCGGGTGGGCTTCTTTTTTTTGGCCCCCTTTCCATCTTTTCTGCTTCACTTTAAGCTTCTTTCGGGCTTAGATCGCAGCCTGCAGACTCCAAGTGGAGTCGGAGAAATTTGGCCCCGTTTTAATGGGGCTGGGGAATGAGCTCTGTAGGTCAATAAAGCCCTCCAAAAATGATGAATGATTGAGCACCTGTGATGATGATAGTGATTACCAGAGCAATTAAACAGTTTGATTAAATGAGCCATCATAACAATGATGTCTGCTGGAAATCGGCCCTCACATATAAAGATAGTGCGGCAGGCCTGGCAGAGCGAGGGTAGTGCGACGCCAGGGACCGGGGCTTCGGACGCTGAGGATTTGCCAGGGTGGCCTGGGAAGGGACGGCCGGGAGCGCGGAGCTTGGGGAAGGAGAATTTAGCCCAGGTTTTCAGCCTCACTCACGTCGGGCATCCAGCCTGCAAGAGCCTAAGGGTATGAAACCTGCAGGTTGGGGGAAGGGTTCTTACCCTCCACCTCCTCATTTGTTTTTTTCCCCTAGAAGAAACTCCAAGATTATAAATGCATCCTTCTTATTTGTTGCCGAGTTGCTCCTCGACATATAAGAAAAGGTGAGTAACAAAGAAAAGAAGACGCAAAAGAAAAGAAAAAGTTGGCTCCCAGAATTTTATTTCAGGGGACAGTTAGGCGAATCCAGCTTGCTTAGCCGGGGCGGGAAGGATGAGAGCGGAAAAAGCCACGCTGGTCTCACCGCTGAAGGTTTTGACTTTGCAGAGAGGTCTTCATATTGATGGATCCAAGTTTCCCGTGCAGCGCCGCTCTCAGAGGAGTTTATTCTCGGTTTTTCAATTTTTACTCTTCTAATTTTTTAAATCTTGCATATTTATTGTCGCCAATGGGATTGTTGTTGTTTTAAATGTCTGTATAGTAAGTGCCAATTCTCTTTTTAAAAGGAAACTCAATTTCCTTGATACACGCTCCTTTAAAGATCAACTTCGAACTGAACCTCTGCCATCTCAGAATTTAAAGATTCAACGTTGTTACCTTCTGCTGCTTTTACCACCGCATTTTTTTCTCATAGTGATACTGTGGAGTTAGCATCCCTACAGCTTCGATTTAGAAAAACTGCGCTAGTATTTTCTTTCAAACCTGTTTCTTGTGAGGCACTGCATCTGAGTAAAAACAATTCAGACCAATAGACGATTTCCATATTTTTAAACACTTGTTAAAATAATAATGGGTTGATTGCTCCCGTGATAATCTTGGGTTTTACAAAAGAAAAAAAAGTTTAAAATCTATTTTCATCTTTTGGGCGATGCAGAAGCCTTTTTAACCTGCGAACATACACTCCTCCCCCCATTCTGTAACTTCTTTCCCTTTTATTGAATACATACATTAAAGCAAACAACAGGGACAATTTAGTTTGATGTAGGAGGGAGAGAGAAAAGGGACATTTTAAGATACTGTTAAAGAAAAAAAAACCTTTAATTCCAAAGACTTTAGTTAAGAAGTGTGAGAGTGTTAAAAGTAACACCCTACTAGAGGGAAATCTGAGGCATTTAAAAATTCCCCCATTTCTTAAGGTGAGAACTCCGAATTTCTTGCAATTTAAAGAAATTTCACTTACCTAGTTGCATGTCATTTATGAAACTTAGTTTAAAACAGCATCACAGTTCGGTGGATTACACACAAGATCAAGTTGGAGGTGATTCAGGGTGTAGGTTCTTGGTCAATCTGATTCATTCAAAGGACTATTACTTTTAATCACCAACTTACTGATGTTTTGTGAAACATTTAAAAGAACTTCTCGGTTTCCCCCCTCCGATAGAAGCGATTGAAAAGCAGCAGGGCTGGCATACTTTCTGGTTTCAAGCCTGATAGGACCTTGCTGATGCTCCATTCTCAGCCTCGGAACCATCACGCAGGCTGCACTGCTCATCTGCTCTCCAACATTTGGGGCAAAGGAAAAGTGGGTAGATGGGGTAGGCCTCGGAGACAGGCTCGAGATATGAGGGTCGCAGGAGGTGGCACACACCTCCGTCAACAGTCAGCTCCTTTTGCCCAGGCTGGAAATGGTTTTAACAGGCGGTAAAATTTCATCTTGCGGTGTCAAATTGGGGTCATTTTGGGGTTAGAGTTCTCAGTGTCCGAGAGGAGCTGTCCAGCTGCGTGGGGACTCATTAACTGCAAAAGATCTGTTTCAGTAAAAACAATTCAAAGACAATCAGAAGGCTAAAGACCCTCTACAAATCGCATTTTACAAGTGCCCCAGAACAAATATGGATGCTGAAACCTATTTCTTCAGAATCCCAAATAAGGCTACTTAGCTCTGGAGTGGGGGGTAGGGGCGTTGCATAAAAAAAGAGGTGAAAGGGAGGGGACCAGATCGGGTAGGGATAAGTGGGAGGGGGAATGGGCCTCTCAAATTTAAGAGTCTGTTTTTAATCACCTCTTTCTTATTGAAGCATCCCCAGGACTGTTGAGAATTGCTTCTTTTCTATTTTTTTTTTTTTGGTCTCAATGTGGAATGCTATTACAGATAACAGTCAAGATTTTAAAAGAATAATTGAATCCCGCTATAGTTACTTAATTTAAAGAGCATTAGCTTTATGGGGGGAATATTTAATTTGAAATGAGTTTCATGAAGCTAGACTCTATTTTTAGTTGAAGTTGTTCACTTTCCTTAAGGAGCCCCTGTGTCTGTTTCTTTTCACCTTTTTTTTTTCTAGAAAGTTATAGGTCCTCAGCACAGATAACTCGAATTCCTCAGAACAGTGAGGTCCAAAGTGTTAGTTTTGATCTATGTATTAAAATTGCTGGGTTTAAATCTTTTTTTAAAAAATCTTACAATAGTTAGAACAATTGATGACACGCTAGAGGACCAAATAAATCCATCCTTAATCTTATTTGTAACTTTAGTTAATGTTTTGAATTGAGGTATTTTGGATTAAGCAGATTGGGGGGAGTATATAAGGTTACTTTTTTATTTGTGGAGGTTTTGTTTGCTGGTTTGGAAGAAAGATATTTATTATTACTTTGATTCAAAAAAAATGTCTTCAGGTAAAAAGCAAGTGTAATTTAAAATGAGAAGCTAGATGAGTGAGATGCCAGGGGTTTTAAAATAAAACCAAATCAATACTTTAAAGTATTATTTGAAAGACGCTTTCTTGCTTGCATTACTGACCTGAGCAAGTAAAAAGGATCAAAATATTTTATTCTTCCTCTATCTCTCTTAAGACTCCACCTCTGTCATTACGTCTTCTCTCTTCATCTGCTTCACTGTCCTTTGGGTTCTGAGTGCAACAGTGAATTTTTGTTGTCAAGTTCTTTTCCCCAAGTTTCCCAGAGTATTTATACATTGTTATAAGGAGTTTGATTGCAGCCCTGCATAAATAGCGCTGCGCCCAGCATTGCTGGGACAAAGGCAGCGGGACTCTCTCCTGCTCCAGACTTGCTGGCTGACAGTTGGAATTTTTGATATATATATTATTTGGCTTTTCCAATAACGTGTTTGCCTCTCCCTCCCCACCCCCTTGCAGCCTTCTCTTTAAAAACATCTCTAGAACCCTCAGCTCATCCTTGTGAACTGTTTTTGACCTTTCCTGCAGTATAACCAGCCGCTCAGAAAGCTGTACTAGGAAGAATTCCACTTCCTTACCTGTTAACTTTGCTCACTCTCTTCCTAATTCGTATTAAGGGAGGGAAGGGAACCTTTGTTTTATTTGTTGGTTGGTTGGCCCTTTCGCTCACTTAGGCTTTCTACCATATACCCCCCATTCCCCATTCCTAATTAATGACAGTAGAGCACCCCACAGTTATCTTCCTAAAAAAGACGAGTGGAATCATTGCACTTTCTTTCCTTTTACTCTCTCGTATTTCTTATTTCTCCCCGTTTTAGCTGCTTCACCATCTCGCAGAACACCAGTATTTCAATAAATAGCCCTCTAGCGCTATCTGGCGGGGCTCCAACAGCGACGTGCGCTCGCTCTGGAAGCCTGGCTCTGTCCCGCGCTCTCTTCCTTCCTTCCTCTCTTTCCTTTCTCTCTTCCTCCTGTCCCTTTGGTTATCTTGATCCCATCCCCCTTTCCCTCTTCCCGCTGCCCCTTCTCTAGCTTCCACCTGCACCTCCAGGGCCAACGGTCAGGGGCTGATACCCGCGGAACCGACTGATGCTCTTTAGGGCTCCCGCCTTCACCCAGCGTGGGTCATACACATCCTTTGCCTTTGATTAGCATCTTAACGTTGCTGAACGTGTTGCTTCAGTTTCAGCGTCTCAGCTGGTGTGGATCGGAGGGGCTTCAAACGGTGTTTCTGAAGTTTGGAGGAAAGAAATCAGACACTGGG